TGATAGTCAACTAGAAATGGCTATCCCTCTTTCTTGTGCTCCTCGATGACATTCTATTGCGTACCAACCACCAAATAGGATGTTCCCACTTTATTCGAAGGCAACTGTAGGAAGGGCTTCATGCGGTGTCAACACAAGTAAGCGGAAGATAAGGGAGGCAAGTGACGTCCTTGGGGAGAAAAATTTAATGAACAGGAGATCGGAGGAAGGTAGAGTCAACGATAACTTTGCCTACGGCCTAAGCATACTCGGGAAAACAAGAATGGAGCAATACCATCGAAAAGGAGACGCCTCGATCAAGGATCTACCACTAACAGAGGAGGAAAAGGGATCGCGAAGAAGAAACTGGAGGAAAGGAGTTTTCGGCAATTAAGCGAAGACGTCGTCAGTGCGTGATGTCCGTTTTTAATAAACAAGTACAACTTTGGGGGGCTAGCAGTCAGGGCGCTGAGCAGACGGGTAAGCAAGCCGTCACGGAAATTCGACGTTATGGGCAAGAATGCACTATAAATCCACTTGAGATGCCGCATGTGACCGGAGATAGGTGTCCACAGTTTGCTAAGATAACATGGGCTTAATCAAGGAAACGACCCGTGAAGGGAATGCCTGATATCTGCAAACATGGGAATCAGAGCCCAGGCGCTCTGCTCGGTGAGGCGGCAGTGTACGTGTTTCTAGGGCATTGAGAAATAGCGCCTGGAGTAAAATGCACACAGGGACTGGAACCGAGTGAAATAGGTCAACCAGAAAGATAGGGAAGGGATGTACGGGACCATGAGGGAAATCCGGATAGGAGGGCCGAGTCGGATCAGCCAATCGAAACAGAGGGGGTCGGGGTGAATTGCAAGTGTGATGAGGCCACACATTTTTACGAGTGGAATGTAAACAAGTCGTAAGTTATGATAGGGCTTCAGTGGGATAAGAGGGTAAAGAGTAGATAGATAGGCCAGGACAGAAAGAAGTGATAGTGTAAGCGTTTTCGGCAGAACGTTTGTCGAGGGATCGACTTTACTTGTCTCTTTGACGAGTTCGTAGCTTGGTGCGGAGAATGGCGAAACTCACTGATGATGCCGGCGAAACGTTTGAGAATGTACCAAATACACTGTCTGATGCTGAGACTTATAACAACTACTATGGCAGACAACTTCGGACTAGGTGCGTTCTGCTAAGTCAACCTGACAACAAGACCAAGTTGCGACGAGGTTAACCCACTTTAGCCTTAAATTTAATAATATACATACAGGTATTATACTCACAGCTAAAGTTCCCTGAGTAAATATTTGGTCGATTCCAGGTTTGACTCCTCTCAATGCAATCGCCAATTCCTGACTTCCCTTTGTTCTCTATGAGCTGTGCCTTGGTGATGTCGCTTACAGTTGATGAGCAGTTGTCCCAGTTCCAAGAGTCTTGTTTTTGATTCTTTAGCTGAATCAACGAGTCTGTACGGGCACTAAGCGAAAAAATTCCTGACTCTGCTCTTTTCTAAGACGTTATCCATCAGGTTTGCGTGTAAAAGGGTGTCCACGACATCCTTCATCTTCCGTTTCATGGTGTCTTCCCCATATGAGGCCAGTCTTTCCGTTGCACTCCAGTTAAGTGTGTGGCCGGTAAGAGTTGTCCCCGATCTTTCCTTATCCATTTTTCTTAATAGTCGCTGCTGTTATTTGATCCTTGTGCTGATTCTCCTTTCCGTCTCTTCGATGTATTTTTGTTCACAGTCCTTGCAGTTTATATTATAAAGTCCGGAGCACTCCATTTTGTTGACTTCTTCATGATGGCTAGACAAGCTGGTGAAGAGGGTTGTCCTTTTCTTCAGGATTGTACGAATGTTCCATTTCGGGTGAAACGAGGAAGGAGGTTTGTGGATTGCGTCAACCGGAACGTCGTATAAAAGCCAAACGGCTGTAGTAAAACGCAATTCAGCTGTCCTCATCTGGTGAAATCAACCTACGAATCTCTTATTCATGCACTTTCATACGAAATGA